GTTTGATTGATAACTTATTCTTGTGTGTTGATTGAGGATGCATACTTAGTTTGCATGTAAGGATTTGATGCTAAAATATAAGGGAATTTCACCTAATAGTTATGAACTTATATTTACAAGTAGTGGAGGTTGCTAGTCACGATCGTGTTAAGTAAATTCCTGGCAGGAGTATCATGCAGTTCATAGTTATGAATGCCTTGTCAATGCTTATGATTTTCATAGAACTTAATGATCTTTGATATGTATCTCTATTATGCAATTCATGTAGGGAACTTGATAAGAATAAATTGGTTGCGTCGCTGAGTCCAATTCAATGAGTTTAGGAAAATTTGAAAGTCAATTTGTGCTTATCACGATTAATTTGGGGCATTGTCATTCATGGTTTATAGGAAGAATAACTGGAAATTGATTTGTATGCATATGTGTCATGTGTGGAGAAGGACCCTCTAGCTAGCCATTCACCCATTAAATCACCAATTTCGTTCAAAGTTATTTAGAGTCTTAAATCTGTTTAGTTTTGGTCTTAAATTCGTCAAAAACAAACCCCCCTTTATATTTCCTGTTCTTAGGTTAAAATCTATCCAGATTTGTTGTTTTTCATTGTTTTGAGTCTTTTGAGTTCAATTTTCGTCCAAATTACATTCTAGTTCTTGTTTTGAGTCAATTCAATTTAGTTTTGTGTTATTTGAGTAAATTTAGCTTATTTTGATTTGTTTGAGTCTAGTTTTAGTTTTTAAGTTTAATTTGTGTTGATTAGCATCCTTAACTAATCCCCAGCCTAGAACGATCCCTACTTACGCGTACTACAACTATCTTAATAGGGTTTAATTTGTGTGCTAGTTTACATCACATCATGAAGGTAGGAAAAGATAAGATAAGGTTAGTTTGGATAATATTCCTTCATTTTAGCTGATTCCTTATCGTCTTTGTCTTGACTTTATTTTCTTCATTTCCTTAGCATATTCCTAGCCTCTTCAACTCCAAGAACGTCCATCCACCTTGCTTCATACATGTGCTATCCATTCTTGGCCCAAAATTGCTCCAAATTGCACTTTCTTGCAAACTTTATCATTTGAACCTGAAAACACACGAAAATAGCTTAAAACACTCTAATAAGTAGAAACTAGCTATGAAAATGCAAGAAAACAAGCTAACTAAGTCGCATAAATATGCTCCTATCAATGTCATATTTTAATATATGAATTCGTTGCAATGTCAGACATCTATTAATTAATACGTCAATTTGACCATGAAGTGATGACATGGCAAATGCAAAGCCCATATTTGCTGATGTGTCAGTCAACTTGTGCAAATGGTCAAACAACTAATAAAATATTTAATTATTAAAATTATTTTAATTCATTTAAAATAAATTATTTTAAACAAAATTCAAAAAAATAAAAATAAAAAACCAACCTCACCCATCCGTAGTTTCCTTCGTCCCCTTCACTTCTCTTTCTCGCCGTGCCCAGAACCACCATCCCTCCCCTCTCTCTCCCCTTTCTCCCTTTCACGCTACAACAGCAGCCACGTCGGCTATGCCATCGTCCGCAAGCTCCAAGCCCTAGGCTTCACAAACCTCGTCCTCCACACCCACTCCAAGCTCGACTTCACCTGCCAAGCCAACGTTGAGAAACCCAAAAATGTTCCTGCACCACCGAACCTCACTAGACCCTAAACCAAACCCCAAAAACTCGATCGAACCCGCTCTCCCTTCGACCCCAAAACCTTAGCGTAGCCGTCTCCTATCCTTTGAGCCAAAACCCACAAACCTAGTTGAGCAAAGCCCAAAGCTTTCTTTGATCCCAAATCACCACCACATGTTTGAAACAGAAGAGAAAGAAAAAGATGGATGCACGAGGATTTTCTGTGGCGATGGCAGAGGTGTCAAAGTGGTAGCAATAGAGCACACCTAGTTTACGAAATTCCAATTGGGATTTGATTTGTTTGAGTAAATTAAAAATTAAGGATTGAAATGGGGATGAAGGATGAGGGTGATGAGTTTGGGGGAGACATGTAGGGAAGAAGGGTGAGGGTGATGAGTTTGGGGGTGGGTCTTACATTTTTTTAATAAAAATATTTAAATAATTTTATTTTAATTGTTTAATATTTAATTAATTTTTTAATCCAATTGGGCTAGGGAGTGGGCCCCGTCTCAAGCCACATCAGCATTTAACAGAGAAATTAACTAAAAATTTGACAGAGGTTTGACATTGCAACAAATTCGTAAGATGAGGTTTGATATTGTAACTTTTAAATATTAGGTATGAGATTGTGGTTCACCCCATAGTTGATGTAGTTTTGTGTAATTTACCTTATTTTTTATCACATTAACATCTTAATTTGAAATTTCTCCCACGGAATGTGACTACAAGTGTTACATGTAGTATACGTATGTTGGCTTAGTGTTTTAAACCAAAGGCTGTGTCTGTGGTCATGGTCATGGGTGGAGTCACTAAGTGAGTTCTTAGTTCAAACTCTTTTTCGTTCTAGACCAACCCACATTTTCCTTTTCATCCTTCTTATTGTGGTGCAGTCTTCACTTCCCTTCTGCTCCTTATTCTATCAACTTTTCTTTAGCTTTAATTATATTTTAGAAAATTTCTTGCTTAGTCTTTACCTCATATTTGAGTTTCTAGATTTATACAATGTTTTTAGTTCTCTATATTGAATTTAGGGTCTTATGTAAATTGCTCTAATCTCTCATGCCTTGAGTTCAAATTACTTATATACGTGAAAGGCTCCTTTATACATGAAATCGTGGCTGTGATTGTGTTTGTTGACTTTTGTTGTAGGGTAGACATTAGGTATACAACTCTTTGACTATGCCATTGCATAAACTTACTTTCCATGAGCTTTGCCTGTAACTTACAAATTCCCAACTATTTTTGCCATTTGTGTACCGTCATCTTTCATTGTGTAATCACGTTTACGATTCAAGCATTAACCAAATAAAAAATACTCTCTCTCTCATACAACAAAAGCACTATCACGCTTGTCAACTTAATAACGGTTTGGTTGAGGGTTTTTAGGTCTCATCACATACAAGAATGCATTTTAATCTTATTAAAACAATTTGGTCCTATTACAACTATTGGTCCATGTGATTGATTCAGTAGTATATGATACTCCCACTATGCTTGTAAAATGGTTTTTAAAGCAAGAGTATATGGTACTACTAGCATAAGCTTTGCATTCATTGATGGACTATATAGTTGTCTTAGGGCCTTAGGATGACTATGAACCTTTGATTCAATCCAACACGAGCCTAGTGTTGGATCTCAGTCTAGGGATGGTGATTGATTTTAGTTACACGTTTAATCACATTAAGGCGTGTTTTCTTATTGGGCTTTGGACCCTACTACTCCAATTTCATGCATATCAAAGAAAACAAGAAAGGAGTACTTCAAAGTAAAGAAGAGTTTATGCTCTATTACAACATTTGACCAAATCAAATTACTTTAAAGTAAAGAAGAGCTTATGCTCTTTTACAACATTTGATCATATCAAATTACAACCAAAATCTAATCTACGCATTCCCATGGTTCAAACAAATTGGAGAGATGATCTTTCACATAGCTCAATTATCGTAGGCTTAAGTTCATAACATTTGAGGAAGATGTGCATTTTGCACCTAATTTGGTCAAAAGACCAATAGGTCTTTCTTCTTGTTCCTTGAAGCAAAGATAGCTCTTTTTTCACAAAAATCCCAAATCAAAGTAATAGATTTCTGGGTTTCTGGAGAAGAGCACTACAGATTTCTAGAGGTCTTTCGTTTTTTTGGGATTTCTAGAGAAGATCATAGCAACCCAACGTAATAGATTTCTGGATTTATTGCAGATTTTGATATTTTTGATATTTGGGATTTATAAGTTTTAACCTTCGAATTGAAGTGTTCTTTATGGTGTGGATTAAGCTTATTGGAAGCTTAACTGAATGAATTCATCGCTAAAGCAAGAGGAGGTTGGGTTCGCGGGATAGAGATTGGTGAGAGCCATTTCAAATTTGGAAACTGGAGAAGGGGGTGGAAGGCATGATTTGGTGACTAGGTTCGCGGGAAGAAGGAGATTGGGAACGCATGCTTGCAGATGAGGCGGGCAATAGAAACAGGATTAGCAATCCGCTAGTTTTTGGGGGGACTCGCTAAGAACAATTAGTGAAACTTTTAGTCAGAGCGAGTTTGACTTAGTCTCATTAAAAGCAGTCTTTGTTTGCACCAAACACGGGTTAAGACTCCTATCCAAGACAGTCTAGTTTAATGAGACTTAAAGAGGCCAAACAAACATGCCCTTAAAGAAATGTAATGAGAATCTTCTGAAACTAAAAGATTTTGAAGCAATTTTTTTGAAATTAAAGGATTGCGTAGGGAACTTGCTATCTCTTTTGGGAAAAATAATTACGTAGCTTGTGTGGTTACTGTATTTAATTTATCTTCTCTCGATAAAGTTTAGTTTGTTTTCTTTACAAAGTGGCTTTATTTATTTGTTTTTTAATTAAATACTTTTTTTTTGGGCAGGCCAACTATGATCCATTCAAAAACCCTAGACCAAAAAGCATGAAGCCATTGATATTTGGAGCCGAATGGGTATCATCTTCATCACTTTGATACCAAGTTGAAAATCAAAGTACACCACGAACAAATAAAATAAAAAACTTTATTAATTGAAACAAAGAATTGCCAAGAAGAATTTGCTTGTACGTGGAATCTTGTATCATTATAGTCTTTCTCCAAAGCAATTGCACGCAAGATTTGATAATATAGAATTACAATGACGATAAAATTAACGAAAGACAAATATATTTTGAAATAACCTTACCAACTGAGGCAACCCACTTTTGCCAAATATAAATTTTCTTTACTCATCGTCATGCAAAAATAAAGTTTTGTGACAATCAATTTTTCCTCTCTCAAGAACACAAAAGACGTTGAGTTTGCATTATCCGTAACCAAAAGTCTAAATCCTCTAATATTTACGCACAAAAAATTGTGATTAGGATCTTCAATAATTTTTCTGATAGGCACCATACCAAACCGGAACTCCGATCGCAATGTTGCCGCCAAAACTATTGTTTCCAGCCGCCGGAAACCCCATCATCGAGGGAGACGACGTCGTTGAACTTGCACAAGAGCTGTACATCTCCGGAACCTTCATCCTCACAGAAATATTAATAATCCCATTCTTCTCCCCCTTGTAATCTCTCAGCCTGTAACTCAAAAAATGCAGGTAACCCTCCGGCACGTACCCGCCAACAAAATCCGATGCCGGAATACTCGCCGTCGCGAACGTCCTGACGCCGTACGAAGTCTGGCATTGGACCTCCACCGTGATGGACTTGGAGTGCGTTGGCAAGTCAAGCACAAGCTTCTCGTTCCACTGTGGGTAGGCGCCGCCTTCAGTGTCCATGTCCGTGGTGCGAAACTGGCTGTTGGTGTCGGTCCGGACGGTCACGGAGGTGTTTTTGCTGATGGGTTTTCGATTTAATTGCAGGTTCCCAGCGGAGATCACCGTGATTTCCAGCGTCCGGAAATTGGCTGCCATGGTGGATGAAGGGTGCGCGTAAGGTGTTGTGTTAGATTAGGGGAATTGTGAGAGCCGATGGGAGGAAATAGGTGTGAGTGGGGAGGGGTTATATAGGAGTGTTGAGGGAAGGATGTGGGAAAAGAGAGAGAAACAGCCACCAGGTTTCTGTGGATTTCAAATTGGACTAATAAACTAAATATACGCGCCCAAGTAGACTTTGGTTTTCCAAGTTGACTGTGGCCCTTCAAATGGGGTTTTGAGTTATTCAGGGTAGAAACTTTCATGTAATTAACGGATTCACACCTCTTATTGCGGGGCTAATGTTTTGGAAAAAGTTTGTTTTTATTAGCATGCAACATTAAATTACTTACCTACCCTAATTGCAATGACAATTTATATTTTATAAGGTTTTTAAAAAATAAAATAAAATTTTAAATAAAACCCAAATCACTTTAACGCGTATATCGCAAAATTATTTGTCTTCCCCAACTCTCTAAATCAATCTCACCCAAGGCTGGCCCTAAGGGTAGTCCATGACCATGTAGGCGCCCTGCCCCTTAGAGCCCCCACTTCAAAGAATGAGGATCCCAATGATCTTTTAATCATGTTTGTTCATCGTATATTGTGCGGTCAGAAATTATTTAAATTTTTTTATTTAAAATTGAACACAAACAGTACCTAACGAAAACTGGTTGCACGATATACAATAAACGGATACAATCCCGTAAATAAATATAAATACATAAAAGTAAGATATATTATACTTTATTTGTTGGTGCAGTGGAAATGTTTGACTTCTTTTTTCTTTGAGGTGTTGAGTTCGAAACATAGAGGTGCATTTTAAGTCACTAGTTTTTTCTTATTTTTCAAATTTACTCCCAATCCATCTCTCCAAGTGCATATAAAGTTATAACACTCAAGTTCCTTTGCAATTTTGTTTTCTTTCAACTTCTTAATCTCTCAATTTCTATTGAATGTTTAAATCAACTATCACATGTTTTGAAGATTGCATTTAAGGTAATCAAAACTTTGAATTTATATTTTTATTTTTCAATGGATTATTTTAATGTTTGATTTGTTAGTGTGATGTTGATTTTAGAAAGAAAAAAAGCACATGAGAAACAATTGGCGTAGTTGAATTTATTATCCTCGTCAATCAAGTTTTATTATTTTTTACTCTCTTGATTATCAAGTTTTATTGTTCTTCACTCACAATCTTAGTTTCTTGACTTCAAGCATTTAGTACATTTGCGTCTAAAAGCATGAGTCGTGTAATATTTAAATAATGTTTGTATATCTACCTTTTTATATATTTAGCAAATTCTTTTGTACATATCACTATACAAAGAATCGAGAGTTAGAGAACTTTAGGGGCCCCTAGTTCTCAGGGCCAGCCTTGCTCACCCTTAATTGTAGAGCAAAATTTTAACCAATACAACTACAAACATGTTAATTTGCCAAAAAAAATTGATGAATGAAATTTGAAATCGACGTTTCAGAAGCTCCACCTTGTTCAAAATGTACCATCACAAGTGGAGGAAGGTTAAACTTGATTGGTGTTAGATTACAATCCTTGTTTTCTTTCAAAGCCATGTATTAACAAATAATAATCTGATGATCATATAATACTAAATTGCATTTGTGCCTTTACAATTTTTGCAAATATAGCCATGCCCTCCAACAGTTCATGTAAACTTAAATGAATTTTTAATACCTTGGTCAATAAAGCGATACCGCTACTGTAATTCTACATGAAAAATGCCATCACAGAAATTTTTCATTTATTTTTATTAGACCAATATATTTTACACCAAGGAGAGGGGGAGCTTGGTTAAATCACACAATAGATAACCTAATTTGGTATCGAATTTGTCATCCACGAGATTCGAACTAAGACCTTTCAATTACAAGTGAAGATGAACACCACCAGATTGTAGTACTAAGTGACATCACAGCGTGATGTTTGAGTATGATATGCGATGCATAAAAAAAAAAAATCATTCCGTGTGCATCCTAGCCAAGGGCAATACTTCATACTGTCGAATTTAATTATTTAACTACCAAAATAATATACCAATCTAAATGATCAAATTGACATATGGAGCCTAAGGTCCTCACATCATCATCTTATACTTTCTAAATTGTCATTTTTGAGATACACCCCCTCACTCATTAATGTTCATTTGTTAGAAAAAAGTTGAGCAAATCTTTGAATGACATGAATGATTTTGTATCGAACGGTGCATATCAAAGACAAGGGAAAAAAAAAAGAAAAAAAGTATTGTGAAGAGTGTGAGGTGTAAGTAAAAAACGTGGGGCATGTGTAAAAAACGTAAGGTGTATATTGGGAGTGTGAAATATAAAGGTATTATAGGAAAGTATGTGGAGTGTAAAGATAAATCGTAAGTGAAAAAACAATTATGAAGTGTATTAAGAATGTAATGTATATTCAACAATATGTAAAACGTTAATGAATGCAGTATATGGCAGATCTCTGACAAGCGACCAAGTTTCATGGTAGGAATACATATCGTACTGTCAAAGACAAATTCACACATCTCTTGTTTCTTGATTTATTACGCGGTGAATAAAAGTTGGAAACTTGCAATTAATTGTGGAGGAAATTCATTGTGACATGTCGCGTGGTTACAGAATTTTCTCAAGTCATGCATGGAATTGAATTTTCATGATTTGTTTTGTAAAATATTTGAGAAGTAACTCCCTTCTTATGTATGTAAACGTTGACTGGAAATTGGCGGGGAATGACATTGAAGTTTCTATGAGTAAGGTATTATGTTGGGTAATCTAATCTAGCATTCTTGCAACCAAGTATTTGAAAAGTGAAATTATCGTCATCTTTTTCACGCTTCTAAGATTATATCTAATGCATGCAAACTACTCTAGGTGAAAGTGTTATTTAGCACCAAAAGACAAAATTCAATTTTTAAAGAGACATGTCTAGTCTAGGTTAAAACAGTCCACGACTCTTCACGAGCGAGTTTATCTTTGACTATTAAATGGTCAACTTTTAAAAAAAATTACAAAACTTAGCCTCTTGCACTATTAGAATAACAAAATTTTGAGTGGCTAGATTTCATAAATAATGACATTTTGGAAGGCCAAATAAAGCCTCTAGCCCGTAATCCTTGCCTTTTCCATTAGACTTGCTCTAATGCTACACCATATATTTTATTATTTTGTACTCAACCATTATCCAAGACTATAGTATATTTAACTAAATTAGACTATAATCTAAGCTTATGACTTGGGAGAATTTTTTTTACCGATGACCAAAACCATATATATATATATATATATATATATATATATATATATATATATATATAGAGTTAATTTTCGCATCATTTCCTTAGTTCAAATTTTCTTTGAGTTCATCTTATATATATTGTAAACACCTTAATTTTCAAATGTCAATGATGTCTGCATGCATCAATGTCCTTTTCATTAGTCACTTTCTTATTTGTTGACTCAATTATCAGTAAATCAATTGTAAGTCCCAATATATGTTTTGCAATAAAACTTATTTTCAAATTATATCTGCATCATTATTTTGAATTCATTATTTTCATTATGAATATTTTCATAACAAGTGATTTCAATTGGCACAGAATTCTTACTCTTAGTCAATTCATCGAATATCTCAAGTTCAAGGTAAACACATATCAGTCTTTCATATCTTTCTTTTTATTCATTTATCACAATTGGTTTCATGCTTTATTTAATCCCACATATGAGCCTCATTTGCTCCCAGTTCCACCCCATTTGGTATCATAGCCAAATGATTGGTGATTGAATCAGTAATCTTAATAGTTTATTCATTTGCTCACCTATTAGTTTTTGTTAATTCCAGTAGATCCTATCTATTAGCTTTCTAAGTATGATTGTTTGCTCTCAAACCAAACAGTAAGACATGTTCCAAACAATAAGTCCATAGGATTGGCATGAGCAGAGAGAGAGTTTAGCAAATACGCGAAGAAAGTAAAACCAGTAAGATTTTTGTAATTACAAGACTTGATTTTTGAACAACGAGTAGATTATTTAGATCTAATTCAACTACTAGCATTAGCTCCAAATCCACTTTGAGTAGGATTCCAGACATAGTATATGAGGATCAAAAATTAAAATTTCAAACAGATGAAAGCGTTGATTTTGGAGATTGGAACATCCTCAAAATATCCAATAAAAATATTTACAAAAAGAAATGGTCAGTAACTTCTTTCAGAAGTGAACATCATGTTAAAACAGTCGAGAAAACTTATGCTCTCAGTAAAGAACATGATACTTGTCAATTATTCACACCATAACAAATCAAAGCCCATAGAAAAGATGGTCACAATTACATTCAAATAGGTCTAGTTCATATTGCAATCAAGCTTTTAACAAGAAGAGGCCTCAATACCTCTATTTTGTTATGTCTCCGAGATGCAAGAGTCACTGACTTCAGTGATAGCATTCTTGGAATGATCGAGTCAAACATTTACAATGGACCAATTCATTCTGATTGCTTATCAGATCTCACAATAAGCCCTTTAGATCCTCATATGTTGAAAGCACTCACATTAAACATCAAAACTTCAGAGTATCAAGTCCTTGAATGATTCCAACCATTAGCCTTAATCTTTAGAGAACCAATCAAGAGAATGCCAACATCAAAATACCCAGAACCATCAAATGGTCAGATATCAGTCTACCTTCAGATTGGTGCTTGATCAATGAAAGTAAACCAATAAGCATACAAAATAGCTTAGTCAACCTAGACAACATAGAACAATAGTTTGACAGAACAGTTAAAATCAACTTCAATCCTTTAGCCAGAAAATTAAGCATCCACCTACATGAGTTAGCCCATTCACGCAAGTTTAGAGAACCAACTAGTAATTCTTTTTCTGGATCCATATCAGCCGATATGGTGGGTCAAGATCAAGATCTAATCAATTCCCTGGTTAATAAGAAATTAAAATCAGTAGAAACTAGCTTAGTAGTCACCCAGCAAGAAT